GATTATTAACATGCAGATGAAGGAATGAATAGGGTATATGATTATTAGGGAACAATATAATACCATACATAAGTGCCAGATAGTACGAACTGGTAATTGTATGTTATTCTAACGCGTTTGTAGTAAATGTTACAAATCAATCGGGGATACCAGGTCAACATATTATGCAAAATGAATTTCGAGAGCACGACGCGCTAGACCAAAAAAAAATCTATTTTCTCGAGAACTTCAATTACAACATTGATGGATATCTACAAGGAAATAAACATGGAACTCGTGTTCGTTACGGAGCACGTGGAGGGTTCCAGAGAGGCGGGGCGGCTGCAAAGACTGCGCGTGCGCGAAGTACGTACTAGAAAGATTCGCTTGCGCGTGTCCTACCACGTGCACGCGTACACGAATTTTATTGATGGATTTACAAGGAAATAAAAAAAAAACGTGCAACTCATGGTCGTTACAGAGCACGTGGAGATTTCGAAGAGGCGGCTATACAAAGACTACTGCAAAGCGAAGTGTGGAAAGTTTCGCTTGCGTGCGTTGGACCACGTGCACGCGCGTCCACGAGTTTATTCTCCCTGGTTGGGTGGCGATCGCAACGAGAAAAGCAAGTGCATTGAATTGCTCCATTAACTTCGCGACGAGAAAAATAAGTGCATTGAATTGCTCCGTTAACGGTACTTCGAATGAGATTTCCCGTTTCGGAGCTGAAAACTTGAGTAGAGTATAGTTTTGATTTGGTTTTATAGTAATTATCTCCATAACAATGTACTTTCCTTTCCTTGCTTAGCTAATCACCACTTATTACGAAGGCCATCACAGTAGTGTAACGAAGACTGTATGCCTATACATATCCTATTGTCAAAAAATTGTCAAGTGTGGCTAGGAAGCTTGATTTTTTTTGCGGAAAAAAGAAAAAGCTAGCTAGCTAGGGAGGTGGATACTGAGTTTGCATGCAGTGTCTCGGTTGCTTTAATTTGGTGCCACATAAAAGAGATGAACAGAATTGACTGAATATATAAACAAAAGGCGTAAACAAAAAGGCAAACCCTTAAAATTATTTAAATTTTTTGTTTTTTGCCCTTATACCTTTATGAAAAGATCATCGAATTGTTTTCTGGAAATGGAATTCAGCACGTCACGGACCGCCTGCGATATGGGCATACGTACGTACAAGGAATGCTACCAAGAAGGCTATAGAAGAAAAGGAATGCATCATCCTGTTAACAAGGGCAAACCTCATCATCATAAACCGGGATCCACATTCATTGAATACCGAAAAACAGGCCGAAATAACTACGCGGTTTAACCTTATTCAATCACCCGATCGACAATCAAATAGTCGTTTTTTGCATGTGGATCGTAACGTAGTAACATACGGTTCCATAAATGCGAGCCAATTAGTACCTGCAGGGGGAAATATGAAGGTTAAGAGAATTGAATCGTGCGAATCGGGAAGAGTAGAGTGGAGTCTTAATTACCAAATGGTTTTAATTATGTCCATGAATTATGAAAGTTTTCCTATGACGACCTCTGTATTATTGGTTTTCCTGATCTAATCCTTCGAATAGAAACATTTTTTCTTATTGTAGCTAAATACCATTAATCTTATAAGCCTGGAATCAATGCTTAGTTGGCAAATCCAGTCAGTAGGTAGGTCCCAATTTGACAGAGACTAACAGACTTTAAACAATAAGAACACCATATATGATGAAAGATTTGTATCTCAAGGATTATAGTAGGGGAAAATAAATAGTTCAAGAACGAAAAATCGCATAGTTCAAGAGCCAGAAAGTACCATTAACTCTTTCCGGATATTAATTATAAGATCTCTACGTATCTACGATTTGCAAGTGGAGTGGAGACCATAACCTCAGAAACCACATGTCATAGCTCCACTACTACAAATGGTGTGTGGAACCTAAGACGCATTACTTCCACTAACTTTGCTTCTAGTATCCCGCAAACACTACAAACAGTAACATTATAACGGTGGAGGAGTACAGCGTGTAACCCTTATCCATATACGAAAAAGGTGTTAGTAAACGATAATTCGAGTTAATGAGAGTAATTGGTTCTTGACATGGTATCAGAGTCTTTCTTTGATCGCGAGAGGTCTTCTGTTCGAATCCCGATTACCCCATCTGTTCGGTTAATCACATAGTGTCCGAACCTATACAAATTTTAAGCCCGTAACAATTCGAGTTATTGGTATCAACCGTTTCTTAACCCGCAGAACTCACAAAATCATCTAGCTAAGCTAGCACTACAGAGACACGTAAGTTGGTAACCCCAATTGCTTGTATTTTACACCCACTAAGCGTTACGAGACAAACTGGCCCTTAAGAAAAGAAGGGAAAACAAAGATAAGATATCTGGCTATATAGGGAATCCGTATATATAGTGCCTCCGGTTGTTAACATTATTGCATGATCAAAAAGAGACTACGTACTTAACGGTGTCGTGTAACGCATTATTAGCCTGCCCTAATTAATATGCCCTATGATGATCCACTTACCTACAACATCTCACTCTAATAATTCATTAGCAGACCCAGAAAACAACATATCGTTTAAGGGGTTGTTACCGTTATTACAAGGATATTAATGGACAAAACGTTATGTGGCAGCAGGGGCTAGTAAAATGTTTCCCACGTTGAGACTAGGGTTTGTACATTAACAGGAATTCTATCACTAACTATATCACCTTCCAAAATTTATCTAATCATATGGTCGTATGCATTGAATGATGAATGCTACATATTGGACAATTAAACAACATTCCAATACTTGATTCTTGTTCATGATTTCGCGTATCACAGTTGAGTGAAATTAAACCGTGCAAGCACAAATATAGTGATAATATAACGATTGAGAGGACATACACACGTATAGCTAGCTAGCATTAGTGGAATCCATATAACATTCATCAACACATAAAAGCAATGTTTATTCGTATCCATGGGTAAACCTTTGGAATTAGTTTAAATTAATTAATAGGACATGAATGACGGAAGAGCTAGCTATCGGTCTTAATTAATTAGCAATTAAGCAAGCAAAATGTGGTGTATTATTGGACAAACAAAAACGTTCACCTTAAACTCTATTCTAGTCCATGAGCTAGTACTACTTTAATTAGTCTGTCATGCACAAATATATGCTTATCAATTGGTGCATTAATACCGACTTTAAACATCATATATATATCTATATTACTAATTAATCAAGCTAGATGTGACTCATCGTTTTCGTACATTAATATCGACATCAAACATCACCTCCCTAGCTAATATCAAAATGGATATGATTGGTCTGATTTTCTCAACAACATCCAAGTAGTAATCAAATTAGCTAACCAGTAGCCATTGATATGATCATCCAGTCAACAAAACATAAAAGCGAGTATTATTGATATCTTTTACATTATATAGTTTTTAAGAATTGAGAGTGGGAGCTAGCAAGGAAAGGTGGTGGAGTAAAGGCATAGCAAGACAAATGGGAATAAAGAGGGAAAGCATTGAGACATAGACCAAAACAATAAAAAGAGAAACAGAAAGGCAGGGGATCATCATCCGGGTAGCTAGCATTAGCAATGGGTTGGTAATATGTGTATATGGATGGTATATATTGTGTATGTGGGTAATGGTACGATAATCATGATGAGAATAAACGAGTTAATGGTATTCGGAGATGTGCAAATTTCAAGTACAGAAGAATCGGCTTTCATATCGGAGGTGTGTATGTAAACGGTTAATGATTCATAACTGAATCTCTTCCAATAACTCGAGTTATTGAAATCAACTGGTTCTTGACATGGTATATCAAAGTCTTATGTGACTGATAGGTCTTTTGTTCGAATATCGGTGACTCCCATTTATTTTGTTAAGCACAAGGTATCCGGACTTGTGCGAATATGAATCGGCTTTCGTTAGAGAGGGGGGGGGGGTGTTTAGTAAATGTACATGATGCATATTTGAATGTCTCTCAATAGATCGAGTTATTGGGTCATTGGAATCAACTGATTCTTGACACATATTTGTATGCGTATGTGTGTCCATTGGCGGAGCCACACTAGGCCAAGGTGGGTCGTTTGCACCACCTTGGCCCAAAAGATGTGGAGTACATTTATTTATGCCATTTTTTATTGAATACAAAATTTCCTAGATAGTTTTACTAAAACTAATATTTTGTGATATATATATATATATATATAACTTTTAATTCATATATATTATGTAAGTGGGTTTAATATAAACAAAACTCAAAACTTAGAGGTGTTTGTTGCTATCGGTTGTCATTCAAGTGTTGGAAGAGAACTTACTACAATAAGCAAAAGTAAAGAAACACTTTCTTAAGTAAGATGAATTGTGGAATCATGAACGATTTTTCGCCGTAGTATCTTAACATCCCTTCGATGAAGCAAAGTAAAAAAAAAAAGCAATTTAGGATGTGGTATCTTAACATGAACACATCATGAAACATGAATTATATTTTTTTTTGTCCTCGTTTGACCCACCTTAGATGAATTTATGGCTATGCCACTGTGTATGTCGATGTTTGTGAAACCGTATCGTACCAGTGGTCCAAATTGAAGGGGGAAATAATGATATTGGAGAGTCAAAATTGATTAGACAATTTCAATAAGTATGAAACATTCGAATCACACGATTCCAAACACAAAAACCCCTACTAATGTTTCTTCTGATACGATCTTACCCTGTTTTTATCTATGGTTTAGGGTTCTCTTTTGAAGTCCCACGCAATATCACAAGTGGGTTTTCTTAAACCGTTTCCTTCCACACTTTTTTCTCTACACACACATAGACACCCACCGCGCTCACACAATAGCACACCTAGCTAGCTTCACCTACAGCCATCCATCTCATGAAGAAGAAAAAAAAAAATTGAATATACCAAACCAAAACCCCCCTCCTTTTGTCTCTTTCCTCTCCAAATTTCTCCTATATAAACCCTCTTCCTCACCTCTCATTTTCTGTACTCTCTCCACTTGCATTTCTAAGCCCTCCTAGCTATCAAGAGAGATACTAACTAGCAATCCCTCCACCTCTTCGTCAGAAGAGCGGGGAAGGCTAGCTAGCTATACATACGGTCTGTATACAAAGTACTATACGGTATACGTACGTAAGAAGGAAAAAAAAAGGGTATATTATCTCTCAGTCTATATACTGTGAAGAAGAAGAAGAATGGCGGAGAAGGGTTTGATGGGTTTGTTGCCGCTGGTGGTCATGGTTCTGGTCCAAGTTGGGTACGCCGGAATGAACGTCATAGCCAAGGTGGCCATGAACGCCGGAATGCAGCCGCTCGTCCTCGTCGCTTACCGGCAGATCTTCGCCACCGTCGCTCTCGCACCCTTGGCTTTCTACCTTGAGAGGTATACATAACATAACGTCGATCTCTACTGGCTTTTTCTGACGCATGCATGAATCTATATAATATTATCTTTTTATAAAAGTAAAAAATAAAAATGGTGGCTAGCTAGCTTTTCTCTCTCGTTATATCAGAATTAACCCGCCGTGGGTGGTTGCTTACTTTCTTACGTACCATGCACTAGCCTTTTTGCTTCCTTTTGGAATGGTTTTGTTTGTTTGTTTGTGTGGTTTCTGGTTTTGTTTTCACATGGCGGTTCGGTTAAAGTGGAAATGAATCGACGGTCGGCCTTGAGTTTGGGTTTTCGTACACACTTTCAACAAGGGTTATATTTGGCTGTTTGCCCGGGTTTCGGGTTTGGGTTCGATTAGGTTGATCGAACCAACCTGCAAAGAGAGTTACGTTGGAGTAACTGTTGATGGCTACCGCTGAGCTGTCGTTGCTTAGCTAGCTGTGGATGGTATTTTACTCCATCGATTTAGGCTGTTAGCGAAGGAGGAGGAGGAGGAGGATTAATTCACGTAAACGTAATGGGAATTTACTGAAATTGGTTGGTTGGCAGGTTTCTTATGAGTTCATCCCAAAAAAAATGAATATAACAGTTATTAACTTATTATTATGCATGGATGCCACGTGGCAGCTCCCTTCTTCGATCCTCTCCCTGCAGCCAGCTGCTCACCAGGTTCATGGAAGCAGGAAGCTGCTCCCTCGCTGTCGTTCCGATTCATTAATTCTTCTTCTTCTTCTTCTTCTTTACTCCACCTACTCTCTGGGAAGCAGAAATACTGAAACGGCGACGTTTTTTTGGTGTTTACTGATGGTGACCCGTCAAGTAAATCCAGCCAGTAAATATTCATGTAACTTTTTATACGAGTAACCCAATCAGTGAAATCCTACTCTCCTCCCTGACTTTTTACCTCTAGCTTTTCTCCCTTTCCCTAGGATAGCAAAGATGCATGCCAGCTCAGCATATCTCATTAGCTACATGATTGAATTGATCAAACTTTAATCGGTAATTAATTGGGTGGTAATTATTATGCAGGAATACCAGGCCAAAAATCACCATCCCTCTGCTAGTCAACATCTTCTGGTGCTCCCTCACTGGGTAAGGATCAGTACTCTCACTAATCATCTTAATCCCTTACTTAACTTATTTAATCAACCTCTCCTGGCTTAATCTCAAATCTCACTCGCATTAATCAAAATTTGGGTGGTGGCTGGCAGAGTGACTGGAAACCAGGTCCTCTACTTCATTGGACTGCAACTATCAACCCCGACAATCGGCTGCGCACTATCCAACACCCTACCCGCTCTCACCTTCGTCCTCGCTGTCCTCTTCAGGTAATTAAACAACACTAATTGACCAATTAATAACTAACTAAAAATTAAGGAAACACTAACTAATAATTATCACCTGGTGGCGCGTGCAGGCAGGAGTCGGTGGGGATCAAGAGGATTTCTGGACAGGCCAAGGTGATGGGCACGATCTGCTGCGTGGGAGGCGCGATGGTGCTTTCGTTCTACCACGGCCACATCATCAAGATCCCCGAATCCGGCATCCACGTCATCGACAGCGCCGCCGGCGGAGCCGGCGCCAGCAGCAGCGCCGCGAGTACCGCGATGTCGTTCCTGGGCCCGCTGCTGATCATCGGGAGCGCTCTATCATGGGCCCTGTGGTTCGTCCTCCAGGCCCGGGTCAGCGAGTCCTTCCCGGCCCCCTACTCCTGCAGCTGGCTGATGTGCTTCATGGGCTCGATCCAGTGCGTCCTCATCGCCGCTGGGCCCAACCACCACGTGGCCCAGTGGTCCCTCGCCAACCCCGGCGCCCTCTCTGCTGCGCTCTATTCGGTAGCAACAACAACTCCATTATTATAATCCTTATTAATTAACCCGCTCGATTAATTAATTTAATTAATTAATCGATTGATTGATTGATTAAAAAAAACAGGGGGTCGTGTGTTCAGCGCTGGGATTCTCGCTGACGGCGTGGAGCATACAGAAGAGGGGCGCGCTGTACGTGTCGGTCTTCACGCCGCTGCTGCTCGTGGTGGTGGCGGTGCTGAGCTGGGCCTTCCTCGGGGAGAAACTGTTCATGGGGACGCTGATAGGGTCGGTGTTCATAATCGGGGGGCTGTACGCCGTGCTGTGGGGGAAAGATATGGAGGAGAAGCTGGTGGCGGTGGCTCCGCTGGGAGAAGTGGATAAGCACGGAGATCCTGTGTCGACGATGGTGTTTAATAAGGAGGAACAGGACGTGGAGCTGCAGTTGCCGGCGGCGGCGGGTGGTGGTGGTGGTGATGGCCGTGCAGCAGGGGTGGCCTAAAAGAAAATATATATGGTTAAAAAATGAGTTTCATAACTTGTTGTGGTAGTTTTTGTTTGTCTGTCAAAGTACGTAATGTTAAGCTAGAGCTGGTTTAAGTCGTCATGCTCTAGCTAAAAGTTTAAGTTGTTTCTTGTATCCGGCTATCTGTTCGTTTTCGTTTCCTTCTTCTGTTTCTTTCGTTTAACAAGTGTAATCTGCGCTCTGTTTTTGCAATGAAAAAATGTGGAGAATGTGGCCTTTGTTTAGTCTAAACTCTAAACTCTAAAGTGTCGTCCCTCAACTGCTTGGACACAGAGGGGGTTTTTTTTTTTTTTTTGTATTGAGTGGGGAGAGACTTGAGACAAGACCCTGATGGGTCGAGATGAATGAGAGACGACAGTGGGCTTTTGAGACTTTTGTACGGGATTTATTAGCCTTGGGCCGACTCATGGGCTGTTAACTGGTATTAGTTTGGGTCCAAACTCCAAACATATTTCATGAATTGTAGCCCTACTCCAATCTGCAGTTACACACTCCACTTTTTTCTTTACCGTCAACCTGTGTATTAATTATCACTAAGATTCGAGCCCGCCCGTTGGATGGATAGCCAAATACATTACGTTGATGGCATAAACAACAATAATCTCCATTATCAATATTATCTTTCTTTTTATCAATAATTCCATCGTCTCCATTATCAAATCCACTACCTTCAATATTAACAGACACTTCCTCCAAAAAAGACTCTTTCTTCTTCTCTCGCACTTCAATGAAATCAAAACTTTAATTACAGAATGTTTGCAAACATGACGCGGCAAGTATAATTTTATTTCATTCAAGTCATTATATATTGTCGATGATTGGTTGTTTCTCTTCGTTGAAACCTCTATCTCCAGCCAACATGAATAGTATCTCTCTTCTTCTAAACAACGTTATTATTTCAATCACATTATCCACTACTTCCACTTTTGGATACTCTTCTTCTCCTGCACTTCAGTAAATTCAAAATTTTCATAGTAAAACGTTTGAAAATATGAAACATCACTTTCGCATATGTAAAATTTATAACGTCCAAGTTTTGACATTTTCTGAGATTCGCTCTTTAATCCTTCCTTGTCTTAAAAATTTGTATACTCACTTGCGTGTTCGTGATTTTGAAATAGATGAGTTTGTTGTGAAACTTTCACTCCATTCCCTCAATGATAAGGAGGCGCATGTCCTCATTTTGTCTTTATCTAGTAATACTTTGTCCAAAACTCGGACCTGGATCAGAAACATATAAATTATAGCAATTGAGATCAACTTTAAGTCAAACAATTTGTTTTAAATTGTATGATGATTTTTCCTTCAAATAAATGAATTTCAAGTTGAGAATGGATTGCTACCTAGTTCATATAGGCTTTGATGTTCTTGTACAATTCACACTTAAGGACTCGTGGGAGTCTTTTTCGCTTGTGGTGGATAGGTTTAGCGTTAAACATACCACTATACCAATTCCCAACTTTGACAACTTTGTGTTGGAAGGAATATAAACTGTTCTACACGTTAGAGAAAGACTTAGCATTTTAATATGAATGAATTAGTTGCTAGATTGAAATTGATGTTTACTTCCTCTCTAATCTCCACTTTAAATTTGTTGAGCTCTTGTAATCTTTTGGTGGGGATTGAGTTTCATGTTTACTCTCCCTAGATGAAATGAGAGGATGATTACCAATCGATTTCATATTTATTCTCCTTAAATGAAATGAGAAGACGATTGTCATAAACCAGTTGGTCCCAATAACTCGAGGTCAAACGAAAGCCAACTCATGGGCTTTAAGTTTGCACAGATCTACCATACCTTGTGATTTAATCAACTTTAATATTGTGGGTCGTGGAGATTCGAACACATGACCACTTGGTCAAACCCGCTCTAATATCATGTTATAAACCAGCTTTAAGTTTGCACAGATCTGTTAACCAAACATAAACAGATTGATAATGACGAAAAGGAAATCAAACACAGACACCGGAGTTTACGTGGTATCCCTGGAGATCCAGGACTAATCCACAGAAGAGTTTAGAACGCTATTCAGGCTACTGATTTACTGAGATGTATCTTCAAAAAGTGTGTACAGCGGCAGAACCCTCTACCTCTCTATATTCGAAGTTGCCCTAGGTTAACTTCACCACGATCATCGTAACCTAGTGCATGGGCTGCATCATGCCATTTACGTGGGCTATATTATTATAATTGGGCCCCACACTAACACACTTATTAACTACAAGACTCGGCCACAATCCAAGTAAACCGTAGCACAAATACACATTACTTAACATCCTCCCCCAAATTGATGCCGATCTCGCAGCATCAATTTGTTTCCGAGATACCAATGTCGGCTGGTGGAAAAGGCCTTTGTGAAAAGATCTGCCACTTGCTCCTCCGTTTGTAGATGATGAAGTCTGATCGAACCATCACGAACAAGGTCACGAATATAATGAACATGGATCTCTATATGCTTAGTAAGATCATGCAGAACCGGGTTCTCGGCGATACGGATAGCACTGGTGTTGTCAACATATAACTCCATAGGTAATGAACAAGTAACTCCAAAATCAGACAAGAGACGACGAAGCCATACCATTTCGGATCCAACCTCGGACATGGCGCGATATTCAGCTTCAGTCGATGACTTTGATACTTTATCTTGCTTCTTACAGCGCCAGGATATATACGCGCCACCAAACTGCACACACCAACCTGATGTGGATCGGCGAGTATCGATACTTCCAGCAAAGTCTGAATCAGAATACGCAGAAATGCTGGGCGCACCATGAGAAGGAAACAAAATACCAACATCTTGGGTACCTTGCAGATAACGCAAAATTCTGTGAACTGCTGCTAAATGATCAACACAGGGGTCAGTCATGAATTGACTAACTGCCTGAACCGCATAAGAAATATCTGGTCGGGTAGCTGAAAGATAGATAAGACTGCCGACTATGCTGCGATACTGAGACCCATCCTTCAAACGTTCTCCTGAATTCTTCTGCAGTTTTAGATTAACTTCCATGGGATTCTTCACAGGTTTGCAGTCGGTGAAATTATGATCTCCAAGTAAGTCTGATATATACTTCCGTTGACTTAGTAATATTCCTTGATCATTCCGACTAACCTCGAGGCCGAGAAAATAAGACAAAGTCCCAAGATCCTTGATACTAAAGGCTTGTTTCAAACCTGCCTTGAGTTGGTCTATACCGCGCAAATCGGTGCCGGTAATAACCATATCATCCACATATAACAGAAGAATAACAATACCAGCAGTCGTCACCTTCGTGAACAGAGAAGGATCGTTGAGGCTTTGACTGTAGCCGAGTGCCACTATGGTGGCTTGAAATTTCTCAAACCAGGCCCTGGGTGCCTGTTTGAGACCATACAGAGAACGATGTAGCAAGCAGACTTGATCATCACGACCAACATTATACCCTGGTGGTCGTTCCATATAAATCACTTCCTCCAAATCCACATGTAGAAACGCATTCTTCACATCAAGCTGATATAGAGGCCAATTATAGAGAGCGGCAACAGCAAGTAAAGTACGAACAGTGGAAATTTTAGCTACAGGAGCAAATGTCTCATTATAATCGATCCCATGTTCCTGAGTGTATCCAAGAGAGACTAACCTGGCCCGATTGGGTTCGACGGAACCATCTGGACAAACTTTAATTGCATATACCCAACGACTGCCAATAGTGGGAGGACAAGGAACAGGCCGATCAACTACAGTCCAAGTCCGGTTGGCCTCCAAAGCATCAAATTCGTCTTGCATAGCACGATCCCAAATGGGATTCCCTCGTGCTTGCTTGAAAGTTGTAGGAACAATTATAGTATCAACGCCATAGGCCATGTAATCTTCGAAGCGTGGAGGTGGTACGCCCTTGGTAGAGCGAGTTGAACGGCGAGGAAGAGGTGGAGCTGGCGAAATAGATGCTCCGCTGGAAGGAGAAGTGGTAGTGCTGCCATGAGAAAATAAATCACCAGGAGTGGAACTGCTGCTAGTAGAAGGTGTTGAGGAAGCGAAACTGGAAGCTGGGGACGTGGGGGGAGACAAAACTTGGGGAGTGGGCGGATCAGCAGGATCATTGGGCACGTAAGGTTCATCATTATCAAACTCATCAAAAATGGGCAGGGAGGAAGATGGACCAAGGAACTCTATATCTGACACATTTTTAGAAGAGTAGAACATGTTGTGTTCAAAGAAAACAACGGAAGTGGCAATTCGCATACGCTGTCCAGAAGAATCATAACATAGATACCCCTTGTGAACACTGCTATATCCAAGAAAGACACATAGCAGTCTTAGAAGTTAATTTTGTACGTTCACGTTTAGGCAGAAGAACGAAACAGAGACAGCCAAAGACTCTAAGACGGGAATAATCAGGATGATGACCATAAAGGGCATAGTAAGGACTTGTCTGACTCAGAACCGGAACCTGATAATTAATAAGTCTCACTACAGTAACAACTGCCTCAGGCCAAAACCGACTCGGAACAGACGAGGCTAAAAGGAGGGCTCGTGTGAGTTCCATGACATGTCTATTTTTCCGTTCAACTAGGCCATTTTGTTGAGAAACACCGGGATAAGACATTTGACTTAAAATACCTCGAGAGCGATAGACATCATGCAAAGGACTCGAACTAAACTCTCCACCAGGATCGGATCTTATAATCTTGACTGTTCGTCCAAATTGAGTTTGAACCATATTAAGAAATTCTATGGCCATAGAACGGAGTTCAGACTTTAGACGAAGAAAATAAATCCAGGTATATCGAGTGGCATGATCTATGAAGAGAGCAAAATATCGAAATCCAAGACGTGATATGGTTGGGGAAGGTCCCCAAAGATCAGTGTGAATGAGATGGAATGGCTCAGTTATAATAGTGGAGCTAGAAGGAAAAGATGTACTAGAAGTTTTTGCCTCCACACAACTGGTACAAGAATGTTCAGCTGACACATCAACACAATTTTTTCCCAAAAGAGATTGTTTAAACATTTCTGACAGACGCGCAGAATGGGGATGCCCTAACCGAGCATGCCATAGATCCCACTCCTTATTTGACGTACTAGAAAACACAGGACTAGAAACCGAGAAATTTTTGATGAACAAAGAAGGACTACTGACAGACCTAGACAGACATAGACTTTTGGATGACTGACTCGAAATAGATTATGAACCCGAAGTATCTTGAAGCTCCTCCAAATGAAAAATCCTCCCCTGCTTACTC